GTTCACGCTCATGTACCGCGAATCCAACGACCCCGACGCGCCCGGTGAGCGCGTCTTCGTGCGCACCGACGCCGGAAGCAACCATGTTCCGGGATTCTCGGACGACTACCAGCCGCCGATCCCGGAAAACGCGGAGGATTTTAGCGGCGAGGAGTGGGAGGAGGATGATGAGGATGAGGAAGAGGGGGAGGAGGGGGAGGGGGAGGGAAGAAGCGTCGCCGGGAGCAGGAGGTCCCGAGCGCAGTCGCACGCTGTCGCACGCGCGACTGATGGCGACGACGCGGCCTCGGTCGCGGGCCGATCGCACGCGAGCACGAGGCGCGGTGGAGGGAGAGGGCGCGACTTATGGGCGGGCCTGGGGTTGGGCGGGCCGCCCGGGTGGGATGGGGGGAGCGTGATGGGAGGAGGAGGAAGCGTGGCCGGCGGGCAGGGCAAGAAAAAACTCACCGAGAGCGCCCGTCGCGAAATTATCGAATTAGGGTTACCCGACGACGGGTACGACTACACGCAGCACCTTCGGGTGATCGGGCAGACGAGGACGTTCGCGTCGTTCGTTCCCGCCGAGGCTCCCGCGGCCGCGCTTCCCGACGACGTAAAGGTGCGATTGTTGTATTCCTGACGGCCGCCGCTGTCCGCCCTTGCCATCCGCCATGCGCCCCCACCCCTCCCCCCGCGCCCCCCATTCCCCCCGCCCCTCTACCCCTTGTCAGCTTCGAATCCTCGCGCGCTGCACTACACCACCCGCGTTCTTTACATGCGTACTAATTATCCATTTTCGTTATTGATGTACATCCGCCCACCGCAGATATATAAAGCCACGCGCCTTACCGTGCGGCCGGACACGTCGGCTGCCACGACAGCAGCCGCCGACGCGCCGGTTGCTGACCTGGAGGTCGTGGCAAAGATCTCCTCCGTCATCAAGGAGATTCGGCCGAAGCGCGGATTCCCCGCCGCCGCGCCGCCCGCCCGCGCAGCTCAAAGTGCAGCGCCGGCTTCCGCGGGAGCGCAAGCAGGCGATTCCGCAGGCGGGGAGGGCAGCGCAAACTACTTAGGCGTTTCAGGGCTCGATCCGGAGGTTTTAGCGCTGCTAGAAGGGGACGGGGGAGAGGGGGAAGCGGGGGAGGGGGAGGAGGGGGAAGATGTTTTCGGGGAGCTAGAAGATGACTTTGTTTTGCTGGCGACGGCGGGGGGGGAGGAGGAGGAGGAGGAGGCGGAGGAGGCGGAAGATGCGGAAGGTAGGTTGAACGAGGCAGCGGGGGAAGGGGAAAGTGTGAGGTTGGCGGAAGAAGCTTCCGGTGTGGGTGCGGCAGGGGACACGGTCATTGCGCCAGGCGTGGAAAGCTTAACAAGCGGGGTTGAGGGTTTGGGGGTTAAAGGAGAAAGCGGGAAGCTTGGCGGGGAAGCGGCGGTGGGCGCGGAGGCGCAGCGGAGGGAAGCGGCGGTGGGCGGGGAGGAAATGCGGCGGAGGGCGGAAGAGGAGGCTAAGAGCCGCGCTCAGGCGGAGGAGAACCTGAGAGCGCTGGAGGAACAAGTGATGCTGGTGAGTGGTGCGGTGTGGTGCTAGGTCATGCTGAGAGGTGCTGAGTGGTGTTGGGAGCAGAATTTCTTATCGTCCATACAGAATTTGGTCATTTTCACACGTCTAAATTGAACCTGAAACCCGACACCAAAAGAGGAGAAATTTCTCGTTTACCCTTATCCGAATTGAACCCGAAACCTTGCGTTTCCCTCACCTCCCTCCTTTTGCCATCATTCTTCGACCCTGCTGCTGACTCACGCCTCCAGCTGGCTGAGCGGGAATACGCGGATGCTGACGTGGACGACTTCTCAGATGACGAGGACGGGGACCACCGGGGCGGCGGAGGGGGGTCCGCAGCGGGGCATGCGGATATTTCCATGTTCAGCAACGTGCTGGACGACTTCCTGGAAGCTTCCCGGCGGGAGAGCCTGCTGGAGCTGCGGAAGGGGGGCGCGGTTGTGCGGATGGGGAAGGGGGAGGGCGGGGGAAAAGGGGAGAGCGGGGAGAGGGGAGATAGTGGGGGAGCAAAGGAGGTGAAGGAGGGGGGCGAAGAGAATGGAGAAGAAGAAATTGTGGCTATTCCTATTGTGCCTGGTGGGGGAGATAGGGTTGGGAAGGGAGGGGACACGAAAGAGGAAGAAGAGGAAGAGAAGGAGGAGGAAGAGGAGGAAGAGGAAGAGGTGGAATATATTTCGGAGGAGGAGGACGAGGAGAGGGAGAGGGGCAAGTGGGACTGCGAGTCGATAGTCTCTACCTACTCAAACCTAGACAACCACCCTGCACGAATCTCCGCCCCTTCCAATCCCCGCAGAAAGGGGAGCAGAGCGGGAGAGGCGGCGGCGGGAGGAGGGGGAGTGGCCGGGGGGGGTGGTGGGAGGATTGGGGTGGAGGAGATTAGATTGAAGGGGAGAGCGCAGCTGCCTGCTGGGTTCGTGCCGGGGAGAGTGGGGAGAGAGGGGAGGGAGGGGGAGGAGGAGGGGAGAGGGAGTGGCACGGGGGGTGGGTTGCAGGGGATTGGGGAGGATGAGGAAGGGGCGGGGGAGGGAGGGGGGGGTGTTGTGTTTGTGCGGCCGAGAGGGAAGGAGAAGGAGACGCCTGAAGAGAAGAAAGCACGCAAGGTATGGAACTGTGGTGTAAGGTTCAATGTGGTGGTGCAACTTACGGTGCGGTGGTGCAAGGTGCAGGTGGGGTGTGAAGTGCATGGGAGGGAAAGACAAGGAGACGCCAGAAGAGAAAAGCTCGCAAGGTAGGGCTTTTGAGGCACCTGAAAAGACGCCTGAGGGGAAGGACAAGTGCAAGAAAGCTCGCAAGGTAGGGCTTTTGAGGCACCTGAAAAGACGCCTGAGGGGAAGGACAAGTGCAAGAAAGCTCGCAAGGTAGGGCTTTTGTGGCACCTGAAAAGACGCCTGAGAGGATGGAAAGCACTCAAGGTAGAGGGTGCCGCTGTGTAAGGTTCATGGGTTGGTGTGTGGGAATGGTGAGGGTTGGAGTGTGGGGATGGTGAGGGATGGTGTGTTGCAAATAATTGCATGAATACCACCGGGGTAATTGTGGTGATGGTTGACTTTTGAGTCAACTCAAAAGTCAACATACCACCGGGGTCGTTGTGGTGATGGTGCTTTTGTCCTTCTCCTGTGGGCATGGTGCTTTTGTCCTTCTCCTGTGGGCATGGTGCTTTTGTCCTTCTCCTGTGGGCATGGTGCTTTTACCCAGTAACCAGTACCCAGTCGTGCTTTCACTACCTGCGTCTCCTCCTCCCTCTCCTTCTCCTCCTCATGCCCCCCTCACCCCTCTCTCCGCACACTCAAACCACTTTAAACCACGACCAACCTTTCTGTGTATCACCTGAAGACATCTCTCTCTACACCTCAACCAACCCCTTTCTTTCCACCACAGCCAACCACTCTGGGTTACCCATCGCTTCTCACTCAACCTCTTTCCACCGCATCCAACCTCTATCTGCCACATCTTGTGCAGGAAGCTGTGAAGGCTCAGAAGCGGGCGGCGAGGGAGGCGAAGAAGCAGACAAAAGAGATGTACAAAGTGGAGGGCAAGAAGGCTCAAAAGGGTGCGGCATCCACTGTTGCACAAGGCATACATTTACTGTAGCAGTGTGTTTTGAGTTGCGCACTTGGCAGTGGAGAGAAATGGCACTATGGATACAAGTGGGATTGAGGGTACATTCCTGTGGGGACACTTGTGTCTCAATCCCCGTTTTCCCGAGTCACGCCTGTTAATTTTCCCAATGTTGTGTCACAAATATCGAATGTACCGCGACGTAGGGCGACAGATTGGCAGGTTCAGTTGGACACGTTTCATTGGCTGCGATAAAAAAGAGATGTACAGTTGTGTGCATTTGACTGGGTGACAGTACACCCATATTTTCTGCTAGAAAGGCATAGTGCCAGCGTAGCGGAAACGTGTTTGTAGAAAAGAACAAGATAGATATCTTGCATTTATCATTGAAAAGTAGAAAGATGACACAATGATACCGTAACTCGATGATTACTCAATGATGTTGAAGAAGTGACACAGCAGGGTATATATGCATCCAACTACCCCTCCAGAACGACCCATTCACACCAATAATTGTGTACCAATAATTGTACCCTCTACCCTCCAATAATGCTAGGCTCCAATAATTGTGGCCCTACAATAATTGTGACAAATATTGTAGGATCTGGAGACTTTAAAAGGGGACTACACTAAAACCAAACAGCACAGTGGTATACAGTATCCGTTATAGTGTATTTGGATTTCCGACATTTTCAACCTCCGAGCTGGGGCGTGATCCTTTCCCTCGCAAAATTGGCATTTTCGCGCAAAATTGGCTTTTTCGGATGTCCAGGTGCATGTGGTCGTGTCGGGCATTCCGAGTCGCGTGCGCTTCTTTAACAGTGACGGGTCGTTTTACAATTCGTCAGCGATGTCAGCGCGTTTCACGCTGACCAATAATAAATACAGTACAAGTCGCTGAAAGGCGATTCGCATTTGGGACACAACACAGTTTATGTTGTTTTTGGGTGTCACAAAGTGATTGAGACACAAGTGTCCCCACAGGAATGCACCCTGATTCTTTTTAAGGTGCCTAAAAAACCAATGCGCACAAGGTTTTTGAACCAAAATGTCACTACGAAGTACAAGTGGGATAGGTGAACTGTAGTTCATCCATTATGTAAAACATTGTACTGTGGTACTACTACAAATATAGCCCAATTGTATTTGTTTGCACATCTACAGCGAGTAATACATTTTAGGTTAAATTTTACATGTACAGAATAATGGGAACCTGTAGCAGGTTCAGCTGCCTGTAATGTCACGTCACATCGGGCGAACCAACGGCTGGATTTCCTTGATAGCCCGCGCACACTCCACAATGATGCCCAGCAGCTGAGGGTATGAAGGCACAATGGCACCGGGAGGAGATGGGGGGAAGATGGGCGGGAGATGGGGGGGGAATGGGTAGGATGGGGGAGGCGAACTACGAATGACCCTCGATCTCCCATTGGTGGCACATACACTCTCTGAAATTCTGAACAGCAGGTGAAGGGACGAGGGGGAAGATGGGGGAGCGGACAGGGAGGACAGGGGAGGACGGGGGAGGGGGAGGGGTGATGGGGGTGAGATGGTGAGGACGGGGGAGGGGGAGAGGTGATCGGGGTGAGATGGTGAGGACGGGGGAGGGGGAGGGGTAATGGGGGTGAGATGGTGAGGGAAAGAGAGTCAGTTTTGAGAATTCTAAAAATTGGGGGTGAGATGGTGAGGGTGAGGGATGCGGGGTGTGATGGGGGGAAAGCAGGTCTGGGGATGGGTGGGAGGAAAGAGAGGGGGCGGACTTCAGAGTCGACTGAGAAACCTGGTGACCTGCGCATACTCTGAGATTACTCTCAGCACGCCCACCTTGTGACTCAGCACACCCACCTGGTGACTCAGCTGGCCCACCTAGTGACTCAGCAGGAACACCCACCTGGTCACTCAGCAGGCGCACCTAGTGACTCAGCGAGAACACCCACCAGGTGACTCAGCAGGCGCACCCACCTGTTGCGTTTGCTGCAAGTCGGATGTGCACTCCAGGGCCTTTTGCGCTCGCTGTGAGGGGCAGGGTCATCGCATGTCATGTCATGTCATATCATGCCATGTCATGTCATGGCAATCAAGAGAAGAAACGGAGGGGCAGGGTCAGCAAAACAACGGCTAGGCTGGGAGGACATGGCATGGTCATGCCATGATTTCCTGTCCTGTGTAGTGTACTCAAAAGGGGCACAGGCGTGCCATGCGATTGCCTGCAAGGAAACATGGCCCTCCTGTGGAAAGGGTGAAAACAGGCCAGGCTCTCAACGCAGCAGAGCAGGATGGGTGTTGGGAATGAAAGAGGGATGGGAATGAAAGAGGGATGGGAATGAAAGAGAGTAGGGTGACCGCGGGGATGGGAAGCAGCGATCAGATGTGATTGGAGGGGAGCTATCGGAGTTTCATGTTGGCTGGCAACGCAACGCGCGCTCACCTGCAGTTGGGTGACAGCGGCCCGCAGAGCACCAATAAGGGCATCATTAGCCGCTGCATTCACCGCGCTCATAGACGTGTCTCGTAAGGAGGACGGTACACCCGGTAGAGGGGGCAACATGCCGGGGACCGGCAGATAGGCGGGGACAGCACTTGGGGATGGCAGGAGGGGAGCGATAGAGCCATTTGCCGTTCCTCCAGCAACCGAGGGAGCAGCAGTTGAGGGAGCCGCCGAGGGAGTGGCAGTGGCAATGGCAGCTGCTGCCACCGTGCTAGGAGGCGTTGCAGCTGGTACTGTGCCAATAGGCGGCAAATCTTGTCTTTGCTGACCTCCCGTCATCCTCTCTAATAGCGCCCCCGATACAAGGCCGTCCTCGACTGCCCTCTCCACCTCTCCTTCTCTCTGACCTCTGCTCTTTTCCCCCTCTGCTTCTTCCTCCTTCTCCCAGCCTGCCGCATCTTCCTGGACCCTTCCTCCCTGCTGCTGCTGCTGAGCTGGCTCTTGTGGCGTCATCTGGGCCGGGGCATCTGCCTCCTCTATAACGGGTAGGTCACAAACGACGCACCGCTTCTCCCCCGCTCTGGTGGGCTCACAGCCGGGGAGAGGGTTTAAGGGTAGGTATCAGGGGTTAGGGGTTGGCCTCAGAGCGCTTGTGGGTAGGAGAAAGTGGGGGAGAAGGTGGGGGAAAGAAATTAGCAGAAACAGGGGGCGGAATAGGGACGGAGGGAGTCGAGAGATGAACGAGTGGGGAGATTCTAACAAGCTAGTGGGGAGAGGGAATAGGGGAGATGAACGAGTACGTGATGAAAACTACGGTCTCTGAACATCACACGCGAACTAAGGGGTGGCGTGCAGCGAGGATGGAGCGGCACCTGCTACGGAGGATAGGGTTGAAGCACACGGGGCAGTGCATGGCGAGCATCGCCCAGCCCTGCAGCAGCTTCTCGCTCATTTCGTTGCCCGTGGATTTCCTCTGCGGTCCCGCGCCTGCGCTGCCTGTGCCGTTCATCGTGGCGTTCGATTATAGTACGCCTTTTTTGTTCGAGAGACGAGGAAGACTGGCGGCGGATGTGACGATGAGACAAGGTGAAATTCTGAATTTCAGACGTAATCAGAGGCGAAATTATCGAAATTGGAGTGGAGTGGTGTGTGGCGTTGTCGAGGAGTCTTATTCTCGCCGTTGAGCTCATCGCAACACGTGCATGAGGCTTGGATGCCTTTACATTAGCTACACTGCTAGGTGCATAATTCTAAATATTTCAGCAATAAATACATCTGGGCAATGTGGAAATCTAGCCACTCCAATTATTGTGACCCCCTCCTCCCCACTCCACCCCACCCCACCCCACACCACAACCTGTGTGCTGCGGGGCGGAACCCACGGGATTGCGGACGTCACGCTGTCCAACCGAGACGGGCGAAACGCGCTCGAAGTTTGAACCGTCCGCCCTGCTGCCAAACTCTGCCCTGTGCTGTGACTGGTCCGCGTCGGAGTCAAGCTCCTTTGTCTCCGCCCGCAGGGGCAGGTGTGGCTAGCGCTGGTGGCGGAGCCAACGAAGAAGTACGATTTGAACGCGTCAGTTTGGTGATGTCAGCGCGAGATTTTTATTTTCTTTTGACGCTCGGTTTTATGTCAGTCTGTAGCCCAATGCAAAAACTTGGTTTGCATTATTGCAGTGTACAAACGTGTGTGTTGTGGTCCGATAGGAAAAAAAGAATCCGCATGGAGGATCTCAGCCGTTGGACAAACCGCTTTCGACCACATTCGTTGTGTTCTTCCCCCAACCTCAGCCCTTGACTCTTCTGTGTGTGGGAGGGAGGAGTCACTCACTAGGCGAGGGGGAAGTGGAGGGGGAACGAAATCCGCCTCAAGCGCAGCGCAATTACTGCTTGCCATCGCAGGCGCAGACTTTTCAACCAATCCCGCTAGTCAGTGCCGAAGTCCACCTAAACGGGGAGTCCTATCCGCACGGCATTCTCAAGGCAGTTCGCCTCCACTTCGGCAGCTCCATGGGTGAGCGCACGAGCGCATGCACCATGCACGAGGGGTTCCTCCGCCGTAATCCAGCAAAGGTGGGGGGGTGGCGTGGCGAGGAATAGGGGGAGGGGGAGAAATCCCAGTCAGCAGAAGCACACATTGCGGATCGCGCGCGCGGCGGAGCAAATTCGCCCCTCCTCGCATTTGGCAAGCATTGCGCCTACCCTCCCCCAAGCAATATGAACGCGTTCCGTTCCATCCCAGCCTGAACAAACCATGCATAACCGTACTTCACTCTCGCTCACGGTATTCATCACCTCAATAATTCCATCCGCACATCCCATGCTCTCTCCCATCTTCTCCATCATCCATTCTCTAAGGTCCTACGAGCTTGCTCCGTGAATGCCGCTCGTCAAACGCCCATCGCGTTCCACATGGACGAATCTCCCTTCACGGAAAGGCTCTGGGGACTAGCGTCTTGCTTTCATCTCTACGCCACCTCGCATTCACCAGACTAACACGTTCCCATCATCCTGCGGGTACTAAAGACCGCTCTTCGTTCAATTCTAGAGCAAGGGTTTCGTCCCATCGATCCATCCCAGATTCGGCTTTCCACCATCAGCTCATATTTTTAGAGCAGAGCAGTCTAGTCTATCTACCAAAGGCTCTTCTCTTTAAAAGACCTTCGCTCTTAGCAATCACCAGCTCTAAATTGCTCCTACTACACCTGCTGCCAAACAAGTATAAGAGGTTCTCTCAGAGATTAATTAGTTCCAATGGCGCCTGCACAGCTATCCTCCTCCTTCACGTCATCCCATGAGCCGCCTCGTTCCATCATCACCACGTCCACGTCATCTCCCAGCCGCGCGAATCTCTGCTCGCGGCAGCACGCAATCGTCTTCTCCGTCACGTACGGCGGCCGCACCGTCAGCATCTGCGTCGCGTGCGCGCTCCTCGACTTCCTCGTCAAGTTCCTCTTCTTCATCCCGCGCTTCATCCTCGTCCTCGCGAGCTTCGGCGTCCCGCTGCTGCTGCTGCCCGTCGGATCGCTCATCGATCTCACCTCCCCGCCGATGCTCGTCGCGCAAGCGATCGCGCTCGTTTGGTACACCTGTTACCTCCCCGGCCTGCAGACGATACAGTCGAAGCGCGAGAGTTTCAATCGCAAGCGCCGCATGCTGCAGGCGGTTGAGGCGCGGAGAACGCGCAGCAGCGGCAGCGATGCTGGGGATTTGCGAAAATCTCGCACGGAGATGGTGGTTGCCAAGTCGTTTGCAGCAATAGAGGCAGAGCACTCGACATGTGGCGAAGACGAGGTGGTTACCAGAAGAAGCATGACGCAAAGCGTCGGCGAAAAACTTTTGTGTTTGCGAAAATTCGCCTGCGAGAAAGCGTCGTTCGCTTCGCAAGGCGTGCAAAACGGCCTCAGTTCCGCGAGGAGCGCCGTCACTCGCTCGTGCTGGCAGCTCATGGTGTCCGCAAGAGTAACGGTAACAACTACAGTGTCAACCGCTGCGACTACAGTAGCAGCTACAGCCGCTGCTACAGCCAGCCGCGCTATCATGACTACCAAGGCTCTTCTCTTCACCTGCGTTCGAATCCCAACCGTCAGCGTTCGTTTGTCCGTGTGGATGCTTGCGTCAGCATGGGGACTCCTTGTACCGTGGATGCGGATTCAGCGGCAGTTATCCTCGGATTCTGCTTCCACTTCCATTTCTGATTCCGCTCTTGCGGAAGGAACGGCGGATGTGTGCACGAGGGAGGCGGGGGAGAGGACGCGGAAGCGCGGCGGGAAGGGGAAGAAGGGAGCGCGGCTTGGCAAGGGAGGCCGCGGCAGCGGCGGGAAAGCTGCATTCGAAGCGGAGGAGCACAGCGGATGTGATAATAACGAAGAAAGGGAGGAGCACGAAACGATTGAGCAGAGCAAGGCGGCTGAGCTGGAGAGTGACGTGGCAGCGCAGGAGAGGACTGAAATTCCGGAAGTTGCAGAGGTTCCAGAGCTGACTGATGGCTTGCTTGAGGAGAAGGAATCTTCCGAGAAGGAGCGCTCGCGGAAGAGGGCTTTCAGGAAGCAGCGACGGGCGAGGCGCGAACGAGCCACGTCAGACGCGCGCCAGGGAGATTCCCCCTCAGACGCCGAAGTCACGTCTGTGCAAGCTGACGTGGAGCCGAAGCAGCAGAATATGACTGTTAATGTTCGGAAGAGTGAGGAGCAGCAACTGGCGCAGTTGACCCAGTTGACTCAGTTGACCAAATTGTCTCCACCTGAGCTGTCGCATTTGATTGATCAGCTCATGCTCGTGGCGGCAGGAAACGAGGGTGCAGGAAGCGAGGGTGACAGTGGCGAAAGTGACTATATTTCCAAGCCTGCTGCCCGCCAATCCCGGCAGACCAAGCCTTCTTCTGACACTAGCGAGGCCAACGGTTGGGAAAGCAGCAGCAGCAGCTGCAGCGGCAGTGGCAGCGGAAGTGACAGCAGCAGCAACGCAGTTAGCAGGAGCAGCAGCAATGGTGGCAGCAGCAGCAGGAGCAACGGTGCCACTTCAACCTTAGCTTCATCCCTCTCATCCCCTTATGCCCCTCCCGTTGTTCCCAGCTCTTTCCCCACCTCCACACCCTCCCTTTCCCCTCTCTCCCCTTCCTCTTCCTCGCTCTCCCCCTCCCTTTCCTACACTCTCCCCTCACCTGTTTCCTCTGCGGATAAGCCTCTTCCGAGCCCTGTTGCCCCCGTGCACGTGCAGTCTTTTCAGCACCAGTGGCAGCAGCAGCACCAGCAGATCCAGCACCATTACCACAATCAGAAAGAGCAGCAGCAGCACCACCATCACCATCAGCAGCCGCAGCAGCAGCAGCGAGCAAGCGGGGATGCAGCAGCAGCGCAGTGGGAGATGTGGGGCGCATCTCGCCTCGACACCCAACACCTCCTGCAGCAGCAGCAGCAGCAGCAGCAGCAGCAGCAGCAGCAGCAGCAGCAGCAGCAGCAGGAGGGCAACACAGAGAGCGCCGGGACAAGGACAACCAACCTCTTCTGGAGCCCGGATGACAAGCCATGGCTTCCATGGCTCCCATCTCCCACCGCTCTCTCTCCCTCCCTCAAAGCCCCAGGAGCCCTCTCGAATAAGTGGTCCCCCACCCCTCTCTCCCCTCCCACTGAAGCCCCGGGGATGCCCTTCATGCTACCGCAGGGTTCCTCCTCTTCGGGTTCTTTTGCCAACTCTGCTGTCGAATCCGCCGTTTCGGGGTTCGATTGGCTGGAGAGGGATGCTGACGTCACCCTCCCACCGCCAGCCATGCCAGTCCACGTGGCATATGCTGCTGCGAGCGCCACTGGCACCTCTCCTTCTACTAGGGTGCTGCCGCAATTTCCCGCTCTCTCTAACGCTGGCTTTCCCTGCAGCGCTTCTCATCCCTTCCATTTTGAGGGCAGCGTGAAACTTGGAGGGAGGTCTGTGGAGCGGAAGCAGCAGCAGCATTGTGCTGTTGCTCGTCTTTTGCCGGGCTCTCCATTTGAGGGGAATGGTGAAGGGCCAAAGATGTCATCCCATGGGAATTATTCCCTCCTCGGTTCTGGGTTTGCAGACAGCTTGGTATCGGGGAATGTGATGTACACCAGAGAAGCAATAGAGGAGTGGATGGAGTAGATACAGCTTCATCCGCATAGCTGGTTCATGGATTCCATGTTCTGTACTATGATCTTTGTGGCTGTACTATCGAAATCATTGCCGCCTGGCAATGCAGCTTCATTGCAATAATAAGTGTGTCCGATTAGCATTTGCTTGTGACAACATTGGATGATATATCTGAAAAGATGCCCATTGCCGTACAAGGCTGAAATAGTTGGGAATCCTTGACATGACACCTAGAGGCTAGAAGAATAGGATGTTAAAATTACAAATTGCGCCTTTGTGATTGTAGCAGGATCGACGTGAGGTATCAAAAGAATGTTCTCTTTCGGACCTCATCAATGGTAAAAAAAATGTTGATTTTATAGTAGGCCCCTCATTGTTGTAAGAGGCTCAAGTAATGTGAACAAATTAGAAATGCAGGAAAAACAAAACCATGTTACATTAGGTACAGCACTAGAGAATTCAGCAACAGATCACTAACCTTGTGCAACATAGAAGCATTATTTTTCTAAACACCTCCCAGAAACTTATTCAAATGCAAAACTATCATCAACTTACGACTATCCTGCATAACCTTCCTAAATATATTCCTATTATGGGTGCAAGGAATCGAAGTAGCGAGAATTGCACTAAGGTGTCAAACAAGTACAAAGATGTGAGCGAAGGCATGAGCGAACATTTATACGCGAAACATGCAAACGGTAATGCGGTGCGTGCGAGTTAGCTAGTGCTACGTGTCAGAATGAGGAATGAGTGTTGCATTGATGTTGGTTGGGGTACATATGACAAACCCTAACTTCTGTACCCCCTAAGACAAACCTCACTACAGGCTACAACATTTGACACACCCCCATAGCCTAAGTGAGGGGTGTCTAGCAAAAACAAAAAGAGTACGGTCACAAGACCAGTCCAAAAGAAAACAAAGCTCAGGGTGGATCACAACGTCACCACACACTCTGAGCACAAGCAACAGTGGCCACAAGGCCAGTCCAAGAGATCACAAGTATATATAGTAAATGTACAGACGAAGCAGGCAATAAACTCAAGTCTACGCATGACTAGAACCTGTGTCAACAAGGCCTAACTGCACACAACACCTCTGGTGGTCACAAGGCGGAAGCGCCTTGGTGAAGATGTCTGCAGTGTTGGCCTCGGACTCTACGAACTCGAAGCGAGCCTGTCCACGCCTCTGCAACTCTCGCAGAAGAAAGTACCTGATGTGAATGTGCTTCACTCTGCTCTCCAGTCGCGGCTCACGACAGAGGAGGATCGACGCCTTGTTGTCAGTAAACAAGGTCGGTGCAGAGCTCGGCCGCTCACCAAGGTCAGTGAGCAAGAAGGTCAACCACCGCAACTCCTGTGCCGCCATGGCACCAGCGTAAATCTCAGCCTCAGCTGTAGAGGTCGAGACAGAAGAGGAGCGCGTGGAACGCCAGGAAACAGCTCCAGAACCCAGACTGAAACAGTACCCCTGAGTAGACCTGTGAGTCTCAGCGTCGTCAGCGTAAGAGGAGTCACAGTGACCAGTGAGTACGACAGACTGCTGCCCTCCAAGAACTAGCCCCACGCCTGATGTAGTCGCTAGGTACTTCGCCACCCTCACAGCTGCCGTCCAGTGAACAGGACGGTGTCTCCCTGGCGCAACAAAGCGCGCAAGGATGCTGAGAGGGAAGGCGAGGTCCGGGCGAGTACAAGTCATCAGGTACATGAGGCAACCCACAAGCTCTGCGTAGGGACCACTAGGCTCAAACGGCTCGTCAGGAAAGGGACCAGTGAGTCTGTGGTCAACAGCTAGAGGTGTGCGCTGTACGGTGGAGTGCTGAAGCCCGAACCGCTGAAGGACCTGCTGCACCATGTGTGACTGTGAGAGTGTAATGGTGCGAGCGGCTCTGTCCCTGGTGATCTGCAGGCCAAGGTAGTGGCGCAGTTCACCAAGATCAGTGCACGTGTGTCTCTTCTGCAGTTCGGACTTCACGTCTGCCAAAGCAACCCTGTCCGGAGTGGCGAAAACGAGGTCGTCGACGTAAACCAGAACAAAGAACGGTGTGGAGCCACGACGAACGAACAGCGACGGGTCGGCAGAAGACGGCTGGAACCCAAGGTCAGAGAGGGTAGAACGCAGAGTGTCGTGCCACTCACGAGGGGCCTGGCGAAGACCGTAAACAGGTCGCCTCAGCCTCCACTGGGTCCCAGGAGGGAAGGTGCCAGTGAAGGCCGAGGGACGACGCAACCAGACCTCCTCGTGTAGGCTGCCCTGAAGGAAAGCAGTGGAGAAGTCAAGAGAGTGTAACTCGTAGTCTCTCTGTGCTGCTACGTGTAGTAACACCCGAAGAGTGGTCATCTTCGGGGTAGGTGCGAAGGTCTGAAAGAAGTCAACTCCCTCGCGCTGACTGAAACCTCTAGCCACGTAGCGCGCCTTGAAGACCGGGGGAGATCCCGGTGGCCGCTTCACCCTGTAGATCCACATGCCGTCGACTACGTTCGCCCCCGGGGGGGGAACCTCATCGACGTAGGTGCCTGTGGATCTGTAGGAGGCCATCTCTGCGTCCATGGCAGCTCTCCACTGAGAGGCCCAAGGCCCTGACACTGCCTCAGCGTAAGTGCGAGGAGTCGGAATGTCAAGGGCGTCGGGGTCACCCTCAGGGGCGAGGAGCATGGCACAGAGATGAGGGGAAGCGGCCGCCAGGAACTCTAGCTCAAACTGCCTGTCCTCTAGGGCGTCACGGCCAAGGGCAGACACACCCCCGACGGCCAGAGGACTGGTAGGAGGAGCAGCCACAAGCGTGGTGGCGTAGTCAAGGCGGCGGGTAGAGGCAAAGTCAGTAACTGCGGCAGTAAGAGCGGACACAGAGGACACAGAGGCACGAGGGTGAGTAACAAGAGAGGCGAGAACACGAGAGAGAACAGGACGGTACGTGCGGTAGTAGTCAGTGACAGGAGTAGGGAGCGACACAGTGAGGGCCGACTCAGGAGGAGACGGAAGCACAGACTGAGACGGACGAGGTGGACTGGAAAGAAGGAAGGCAGTACGAAGGTCAGTGAAGGGAACAGGAGACGAGGGACGAGCACGAGGGGAGCGACGAGTAGCCCAAGAACGAGACGGAGGAGAAGAGGACAAGGGCGGAGAACTGGGGAAAACAGCGGGGGAGGAGTCAGGAGGAGGAAACGTGGGACCGTAGACAGGAGGAGAGGCGGAGGAGGGAGGAGAAGGGGAGGGGAGACCAAGGATCCGAAGACCCGAGACAGGAGGAGGAAGTGGCTGCTGCTGCTGCGGACGCGACTGCTGCTGCTGCGGACGCGGCTGCTGCTGGGACTGCTGCTCCTGCGGGTCCAGCTGCTGCTGCTGCTCCTCCAGCCGCTGTAACTCCCTCTCCTCTCTCTCCAACGCCAGCTGGGGGGCGGAGTAGTGTCCGAAGCAGCGGCAGCTCCAGAGTCCACTCCAGAAGAACTAGGCTCACCACCCCCAGAGGCAGCACTAACACCAGCTCCAGACCCAGGCTCACCTGAACCCAAAGGAGGCGCACCCTCACCCCCAGACGCAGCACCCCCAGTGTCCGCGCGGCCAGCACCAGCTCCCGGACGACAAGCGTCCTCTGCACCCACCTGGTCAGCTCCAACTCCAGAACCAGAAACTCCAGCTCCAACCCCAGCTCCAACTCCAGCACCCCCAGAACCAGAAACTCCAGTGCCAACTCCAGCTCCAACTCCAGATCCAACTCCAGCTCTAACTCCAGCACCCCCAGAACCAGAAACCGGTACAGGAACAGGCGTCGCACCAACCTCTCGAGAGCTAGCACCAGCGGCACGCTGCGAGGAGGACTGTGGGGAGGGAGGCTGTACCGGAGGGGCTACCGAAGGAGGAGGGGTAGCCTGGGACACACCTGACGGGGCTGGACCAGGGGGGGGAGGCTGTACCGGGGGAGCAGGAGGGGGAACGGCAGTCAGGAAGAGGGGGGGAGGAGGAACCGGGAGACCTCGACTGGGGTACCTGACGTAGTACGGAGTGGACTCCTCGAAACGGACGTCACGGGAGTCAAAGAACCGGTGAGAGGGAGGGTGGTAAAAGGTGAAGTCAGAGGAGTCCTCAGGGAAACCAAGGAAGACACAGGGGACGGCACGAGGCGAGAGCTTGTCCGCGGAGGTGTCGCGGACAAGAGCCAAGCACCCCCAGACACGAAACCGCGACGCAACACCAGGGAACCCTGTCCAAAGACTGGTCGGTGAAACCTCTGGTCGAGAGACACGTGGCCAGAGGTTCAGCTGGTGCGCGGCGTACCTGACCGCGTAGGGCCACAGAAAATGGGGGGCACAGGCGTGAGTCAGGGAGGTGCGGGCGATCTCCATGACCAGGCCTATGCGGCGCTCAGCAACCCCATTCTGCTGTGGGGACTCTGGAAGCGTCCAGGACTGACGAATGCCCTGCTCGCGACAGAATCCAGCGAGAATGCCGGAGCGAAACTCACCCCCACGGTCGGAGTGGAGACAGCTGACACGACGACCACGAGTGTCCTCGGTGGTGAGCAACCACCTGATCAGCGTAGAAGTCACCTCAGACTTCTTCGCCAGAGGGAACACTGTGGTGTAGCGGGAGAAGTCGTCAACGACCACCAGAAAGTAACGCTCACGCTCAGGGCCTAGACGAGGGGCTGGGCCCCAGACGTCCAAGTGAAGCGTCTCAAAAGGCTCGGTGGCCGGACGAAGGGAGGAGGAGTGAGGGGTGGCGCGCAGCCTACCCTCGACGCAGGGACGACACGGCGGCGCAGGCGAAGGCGGCAGCGACGGCAAGACACGTGGGAGGCCTAGGACAAGACGCTGACTAGACATAGCGCGCAGACGTGGAAGGGACGGGTGCCCCATCCGGTGGTGCCACAGAACGGTGGGGTGGGCAAGCAACCGGCAGGAGCACGACGCAGCGACTGGAACAGACGGAGGAACCTGACACGACACAGACACCTGGGGGGACGTAGCAACCTGGTGAGACGCGGGGACCCGAACGGGGGGGGGAACCGGGGGCA